AACGGATATCTGCATACGGGGGTTTCAATTATTTCAGTTATTTGGCGCCTCAAATAGTTTAAAATAATTGAAATAATTGAAGTCGTGGTGGGTTCCCTTCCAAAGCTTTCCCCATCAAATGAATAATTGAAGCAATTGAAATCGGTCCGATTTCAAACATTTCAACTGTTTTCAAAATTTTGTCAATATTTTGGGAGATCAAACGATTGAAATGACGGGTATTTCGAAACTATTTCAATTATTGAAAACTCTTGGTGATCTGCCTTAAGGAATAACAAAATACGGGATTTCAATCATTACACTTATTTCCAAAAACTTGGGGCCCCAACTATTTTACAATAGGTATTTCATTTCGCTGAGAAGTGGTAGCTTACTGTGTTTTGGTAGTAGAGCATACCACCGTAATGCAGCAAACACAAAACACATGTACGGGCTTGTGCCTGTATGCTTGTGCATTCACGTGTACATGCATGCACATATACAGCATAATGCATGATGCTACACCTTTGAGTAGCATGCGTAAAATGCATGCGCATGGCATGATACTATTTGACACCAAGACACACAATACTCAAAAACCCAAGCCCCAAATAGTTGAAACAATTGAAATGACTGAAATCGGAATGCTTCGGGTCCTTTTCCAGAAGTGTCCCCATAATTGAAATCGGGCCGATTTCAAGGGGTCAAAACATTGAAATAGTTGAAAAACTTGAAATGATGGGCATTTTCATGTTTGCTATTATTGAAATCCTTTAGGGATCTGCCTTAGGGGCTAACTGAACATGGGATTTCACTTGATTCAATTATCTTGATATGTCAGAAGGGACTGTCATGGGGCCTGGGTTTTTGCACACCACACTGTCGCATATTTTTCGGCACTTGCCATGTTGGGTTGCATTGCATGCTCCCCCACAGGCACGGACGGCCATTTGGAATGTCCGAAAGCCCTAAACACTCCTTTGTCCCACTATTACAACGAAAAAAGCAAAAAAAGAAAACAAACCAAAAAAAAACACAGAAGCCCAACAAAAAAAAACAATGAAACCAACAATTCAATGGTTTCCGGACTAGTCTGAAGATTCCGACTAGTGTGGAAATGATTGGTTGTGTTTGAATTCATTGCTTAATTTGGTTTCTTCGGTTTTACCGCACGCTGTGGCTTTTCTTGTGGGTTTAGGGTCTACTTTAACAAAAGTATTATCCAATAGACCTTATGTTGTGCTTATAAGTTTTTTGCACTCCGGCTGCTTATAAGCAGGGTTTCTGCTTATAAGCGCTGCTTCTGCTCATAATCATATCCTTCTCTTTACAAGCACTGGGGCCTCACAAACCAAACGAAACCAATTGCACAAACGCAAGTTTTGCATCCTGACCCGTGGCATTTTTGTCTACCCTCCGAGCTTGTGTAGCATACCACACGACCTGTGGTTTATGTTTTTCGGTTTCTTTTGCGCATGAAGCTCATGATTTGCGAGGTGTTGCGGCTGAAGACCCTTGCCCGTTTATGAACACAGACTTGTTCACGAGAAATGAGAAGCCTATACAAACACTGTGTTTACAAACAGGTCAAGGGTCCAAGCACCATGTAAACCATAGGGACACATCAAGGATAGTCACAAGGATGGAAGACATCCAAAGGGTGCCTGGACCACAAGGAATCGTGGAAGCTTTATCTTGATATTCTCTAATAAACGTTTCAACACGTGGCGGACACTATGTCATATACCGCCGCACCATGTCATAGAATAGATGTGAGCTGCTCTAGATTCTGCTAAAGATAGTCCATTCTACACCTGGAGGTTTTCTTTTTTGGTCCACATACACAATATAAACATGCGGGTAGATATAATATCTGACTATCTTCGATCTATCTATCTACCGGTCTATCTGTCTATCTGTCTATCTGTCTATCAGTCTATCTATCTATCTATCTATCTATCTATCTATCCGTCTATCTATATCACTGACATACTGCAGTAAAGACTAAACTGAGTACTCACACACAGAGCCTTCAACGGGTCAAGACATCGGGGAATCAGAACACGGAAAGTCGGCTCTGCACCGGAGATGACCGGTATGAAATACGTAATTGCTTCACATTTAATGTTTTCTTTCATTTCGCTTACGAGCGGCGGCGTATCTGCTGTGCACTTTGTATTGTGGTAGTAGAGCATACCATAGTCGTGCAAGCACATCAACAGTACATGTATGGCGCGACCCAGCCTTTTGTGCTCTTCCTCCGCAATAGCTATGATCGGTGAGCTGCTAGCCATCGTAATTCGATGCAGCAGCAGCAGCAGCAGCAGCAGAAATTCCGGGCGGGAGGGCGGGCCCGGAAACTAGCGGGATCACACAACACGGCAGGCTCCATATTCCCTGCACTCCCAAAGCATTCGTGAAGCCATGAATTCGGCAAGGGCCGTGTTCCGCTTTTTCCTCAGCCCAGCGCACTAGCGCACAGCCGTCGAGCTTCTTTTGTTGCTGCAGGCCGGGCTTGATTGGTGGAATTTCTGCAGCCGCTGCTGCTACATCGAATTACGATGGCTCGCAGCTCACCGATCATAGCTCTTGCAGAGGTTCGCCGAGAGCTTCTCGCGGTGCAGCGCACCTAGAATGCGGACCGCAGGCTCGCAAAGCTCGCCAGCCCCTTCCCCTTCGGAGGGCTCGTCCTCCAGCGGATCGTTCTCCTTCCCGTCGGACGCCTCGATCAGCCGTTCTTCCGGCAGCCCACCCAAGGATCCAGTCGGGGCAAAGGTGGAGGCCTGTCTGAGAGGCCGGGAGCTGCCATTTGCAGAAGTGCATCCAAGCCTTGTCCCAAGTCGCCGAGGGCAATCTCGATTCGCTCCATCCTCGCAGGCATATTTGAGCTTGCGTTGCTCGGCTCGGCTTCCTCCTGGGCTGACACAAACGCGAATCGCTAGGATGAAACCTCCGCGCCTTCACCCGCATCGGCCATGAGCACTCAAATCTGGGCAGCAACTCGGACTTCTGACTGCGAGGGCAAACCCCACGAAATCCGTATCAGGCAGAGGGTTTGCGCCTTCAAAGCAGAGTTCCTTGACCTTCGAAAAGAAGGTACCCCGTCCTTGCAGATGATGTAATACTTGTTGCTCAAGCTGAGCTGCTCACGGCCAGATGGCCCTGGAAACCCACCTGAGATGCCTCGCCTCAAGAATTCCCCCACCAGCCTTGCCAATGCCACCCTGAATGCAGAGGTGGCGGCCCCGGCGCGGAGTCGATCCGTCTGCGCATCCACTAACAGGAAAGTTAGTCGTGCTCTGGGCACTGGGCGGTGCAAATCTCTGGGAAATGGTGGGCGCCGCAGTGTCCACGACAACAAAAAGTGCACGCTGTCTTTCTCCTGTTCACGTGCAGCAACCCTCAACTCAAGACTTTCCAAAAGGGGCACGCAAGGCTCGGATCTCCAGCCTCAGCGAGGTGAACTTTGAGCTCATTCAAGGAATCTGTACCACCTCAGCAATGGCCGGCTGTCCTGATGCGTTGACCGAACTAGCAGAAGCCTCAGTAGGAGCAGCGAATCCAAGACAGGCCCAAGAAGGACCCCTATGACAAGCCCCAAGGCAAGGGAAGGCCAATGCAGGCCCCCGGTGCTGGAAGAAAATCCAAAATCCACAGTGGATGGATGGAAAGGATCCGGCGGCGGCATGTGGAAGCCTAAGCCCGCCAGCCCCCCACTCAGTCCACCAGCAGCTGCTACCGGCAAGGGCCGCGTTCGACCAAAAACTAGCGGGATCACACAATACATGACAATACATGCTGTCTCATGAATAGGCTTGTGCGTGTATGTATCCCTGAATGAGTAAAGAAAGGAAGGCCCGTGTTTCTGTGTGCATTGCTACGACACCACAAAAACCAGATTTGTATATGTATCCCCAACGTGCAGAATACAGTCTCGCGATAGTCATTGTGGCTGCGCATTGTTGTGAAACACTCATGAACAAGTCGTACTGATATATATACTGGGATACTCAGTACAGACTCCACTCAGGACTCACACAAACACACAGACTTTCGCCGATGACACAAGGGAATCAGAACACGGCAAGTCGGCTCTGCACACTAGATTACCGGGTGTTAAAATTGCAGAATAAGCTGGGACGGTTAATGGGGCAACTACTTAACATGATTTTTCGATTTCGCTTGGAATTGGCCCCTTACTGTGTTCTGGTAGAGAGCATACCACCGTAATGCAAACACAAACCACATGTACGGGCTTGTGCGCTTATGCTTGTGTCCATGTGTAACTGTAAGAATGCACATGTCTGTGCATTTATTGAAATCCTTGGGGGTCTGTCTTCACGGCCAACTGAATAAGGGATTTCAAATATTTCAACTATTGTACAATTTTGCGGTCCCAAAGAATCGAAATAATTGAAATAGCTCAAATCAGAACCATTTTCATTATTTCAATATGATTCAAAACCCTACGGAAGCCTCTCTCTCTCAGCATCATAAGCTGTCGGGTGCCGGCCCCTACACCACACCCCCCCCTCCATGGTATCCCCCAAACCCCTCATGGTACGCTTGCCGCACTCCCCCCCCGCCCCCCCACTCCCCCCCAAAGCGGCAATCTGCGCAGTAGTTTCCCGCATCAGACATGAATTACAATGCCCAATTATGATTCTGATGGCACTGATGATGAAGATGACGACGACAATGATGATGTTCAGCATGATGTCAAAGATGATCCGATTGTAGACTCGCGTTGCCGTCTAGAGTCATCACCGGTGCCGCATAAGAAGGGTACCACCATACCCCCCACTCCACAGAGGGGAGAGGAGGTGTGGCAGCCCTGTATCATATATATATATACATACATACATACATACATACATACATACATACATACATATCTCTCTATATACATATAGAGAGAGAGTGAGAAAGAAAAACGGTATCCGTGTCTCAGCAACCTAATTTGCATTTGATAAGAAGACCACAGGGTACACACGAGCAATGCAAAAAGCTGGGGCAAGCTCGTGCTCGTACTTCGGAATGGCAAAAATGTCAACCGGATTCTCATCGCCCTTCTACTCATGCACACACCAGACAGGTCTCACACGCCAAATCACGGTAAATGCATCAGCAGCCGTGCAAACTTGCACCTCGTTCTCGTCTTGCTCGAGTCGCCACACAGCGACTTGACTGCTGGCACCAGCTACGACGAAGCCATTGATGAAGGGCCTGTCCAACAACCGGCAGAGTCTGCAAAGCCTCGTACAGACGACGATGACCTGTTCTCGAGAGCATGCCTGATGCCAAAGACTTGCTGATCGCTCACAGTGTGTCCAAAGGGGGCGGCAATTCGGCACACAAAGTATGGCACCTGTGCCAACATGCAAAAGGAGAGCGATCCACGTGGTCTGACACTGACTGCATCCACCGGCACCGGGTCCATGTCCAGATGCTGAGCACGGTTCTCCGCGTCCTGCACAACGTTTTTGTGCAGTTGTTGGAGCGTGTTTTGTCAGCAGTCATCCCACGACAGCATCTTCCCAGAGCAAGTCCTCTATTCCCAAGCCACTTCCCACAATGAAGATGGCTCCCTGGTCTAGTTGGGCACTGCGGCTGCACGCGCTATTCACTCAAGTCCGCCTCCTCTGAAGCCAGCGCCAATCGCCCATTCCTTAGATGTTCGCGTTTGTCTGTTGGCTCTCTTCGGCACTCCAAAGGTCCAGAAGGCAATGCGTCGATTTAAGGTCCAACGTCCCAAAATTCTGCAGCCCCCTAGCTCTGCAAATCTGACCCAATACTGATCTTGAATCTTGACTTCCGAGGAGCGCCGGCGCCAGCCAGGCATGATCCGTGAAAACAGCTGCGAACTCCTCAAGCTCCTTGAGATACTCAAAGAAGCTCGGAAGCTCGGAGGGAGAGGGCAGGAGTCTGAACGTATCCCTCTCAGCTTCTGCAACGACCAATCACGCTCAAATTTGAGGGCATTGGCATAGCACGGCAAAGCTGCAGTGCGGCTACAGCGCATCCTCAAGTCGCGCACGCCGCATTCCACTCTGTGCACGGCGGCTGTTCCCATGAATGAAAAACCCCACAGTAGTTCCCCTCGGCCACCACCACTCCAACCGGAGATGTAAACGAGACACTCGCTATGCTTGCTCATCGCAGTCTCGAATTTGACAGGTTTTCACCTGTCAGACCGCATGCAGGGCTCCGCTTCCGTAACAGTCTCCCAAACCTTTGCTCGCTTGCCGACGCGAAGACGTAGTTCCAGCCTAAAGGATTGCCAGCACCCCGCTGTGCGTAAGCGAACGATTAGCAACACTCGGTCGCCCCTGCTTGGCCACCGCCGAAACGTAGTCTTGAACTTGGCGAGGCTAGGGAGGCAGGCTCATACTCTGGACTTTCGTGCTGAAGGTTGACAGTGTTCAGGGACGGGGGTATTGCAGCTATGAACATCATAGCGGCATCGCTGCTTATCACTATCTGACAAGACACTGATCAAATCTGTTGCACGCATGGCAGCGCTGAGCGAGCAGCCAAGGTGGAGCATGCACTAAGCAAGCCAAATCCAGGAATCAAGACCTGAAACCCCAATAAGCGGCACGAGTACGAGTACGCGGTTGCATGGGTGTGCCGTTGGATCTCCTCGAGCTGTTGAAGCTTGAACATCTCCTCGGCGCCATCAACCACCCAATAAACACAGTGGTAGACTCTGGTGCATGAGACTGACCGGACCGACGACAATTCGAAGACATCTACGGCGACACACTGCTACTCACCTAGCGGCCTGCAAGAGGCGTAGCAAGCGGGATCAGGCTTAGCAGATTGGGTCAGTTCAATGTGGAGCCGAATGCGTGTTGCCACAATCAAAGGTTTCCCTCTGCACGGCACTGGTATGAATTCCGACCTCGAGCCCTTTCTCACGTCCTTGCTTCACTCTGCGGTTCGATGCTGCCTGGTCTCTTTGGATTCAAGCTGCTCCTTCTCGCCATCCTCTGCTAATGGAAGGTCCCTGAGCGGAAAGTTGCCGAACAACTGCCCCCATGGAGAGCTTTCTCGCTTCCGATGCCTCATGAGGAAAATGTCGAAGGAGTTCAGGCTGGAGCCGGACATCATGTCCGAATCCAGCGGGTTGAAATCGATCCTGAGCTGAAAGCCCAGCTGAAAGCCGCTACGAGCATCGATTTTCGCGTCGGCTTGACTAGTCAAGCAGCCTCGACAGTTCCTCCTGCAGTACGAAACGGCTGATGATCTCGTTGAGCCTCCAGTCTAACACGATGATTTGGGCATGGTAGCCCATGGAAGCCACGGCCAGCCTGCAAACAGCATCCAAAGGCGTCTGCATCAATACCATGCTGTTGCATTTGCTGGCTCCGCAAACCTCTGCTCTGGGGTCAAGGACAATTCGAACAGGTCCGGCTTCACTAGCCGGCAGCCGGAAGCCTTTATGAGGCCAAACGGCGACGGTGCAAGCTCCGTTCAAACAAAATCAGAGGACCACCTTGAAACGAGAGGGCGGGGCGACGAATTCAACGGCAAAACTTCCGGGTGCAGGTGTTCGAGGCCGGGATTCGGTCTCGTCTCGCCATATCCATCGTCGGTGGCCGGTGGGACAACACTGGGACAGGGGCAGGCCTGTCTAGCAAGCATTGCCGCTCGACAGCTGAGAGCTGAGGCTGAGAGAGAGAGAGAGAGAGAGAGAGAGAGAGAGAGAGAGAAGGCTGACAGATCGAAAAAAGCCAAGCTAAGAAGATGCACACCTGGGAAGCTTGGCGCCACGAACGAACACAACGTCCCAACAACAATCTGAAACGACTTCCGATCCCTCTTGTGTCAAGATCTGGCATGGCCTGGAGGCTTCATCCTCGGGAACTCCGCTTGCCCTGCTGGCAGAAGAGAATGCCACAGAGGTAATCCGCCCTACCGGGCCATCCCGGCCATTCAGCTCCTCGAACAGAAAGCTAAGCAAGCTCCTACGGCCATCTACGGCTATGACACCCCTGAGGTCCTGCAAGGTCTGCACCGGCCGGTTGCTGGCCACCGGTCCCAGCTCATAAATCGAAACCTGAGACCGGCTTGGTCTGCAAACCTGGCAGACTGCCAGGAATGAACGGCTGCACGAGGCGGCACATGCCGTGATCGCCTCAAGTGCAGCTGCGAATTTGGCTCTTCACTCTGTGTTCTTTCTCTGCCCAAGGCCCCGGCATCAACGTCACAGCTCTCCGCCGCAAAGCTGACCTGCCGGGCACTGCCAGGTTGCCGACATTTCCGAAAGAGTGATCAGCCTCCTCGCCGAGGAGGTGCCGGAAAGCCAGCTGTCGTCCTACTGCTTGTGCCAAGTACTGCCCAGCGATGTCACCTTGAGCCGATTACGTGAGGAGCCAAAAGGATTTGTGATACTTCGTTAGTTATGGCTAGACACCGAAGAGCACCGCATCCCGGAGGTTCTTGCCCGAGCCAAAGCCGTAGAGAACTTCCAGCGAGATGCCGGCGGTTGCCCGTTCCACAGCCGTCGAGCTAGGATCTATGGACGGCCGGCGCGGCCCGTCGACACCCGGACGCTGCATGGTCCATCACGGAGCAAATCTACGCTCTATCATGCACCGCCCACCTTACATTGTGCGACACCCGGGTCAGCCTTCTTCAGAGCTGGCAAAAAAATGTCGGGATCTGGTCACAGAAGGCAAAAATGGCATTGATCTGTGAGGAATAGCTACTACTGTATGCGACGGAAACCAGCGGCGAAACATGGCGAAAGTGCGATGCGGCTTCTTCTGAGCGGCATTCTGTGATCTGCTCCTACTCAAATCCAGGACACATGTGGCTGGACAAAAGAACTCCGTCGATGCCTGAACTGCAATTCAGAGACTTGACAGACTTGACAGACCGCAAGGACCAGATCCTCCTTCCGGATAAGGACCCCAGGAATTGTGCAGAATGCCCCTCAGACAAGGACGTTCGGTTCAGAGTCGTTTTGCAAGATCTGGATGCACACAAGACGGCACTCGGGTCCGACAGGGGAACTTCAAGAGCCGTCGCTTGGACCCATCTTGTGAGAGGTCTTGGGGGTCCTTCCCATCGCTGGTGGCGGGAGTGGCCAAGAAGCTGGGGTGAGGGTGTAGAAGCTCAGGCAGCTCCAGTTCGGATCAGCGTCCCAAGCATCAAGCGCTCCCCTCAACCTGGCAACACCAGGCGAAGTTTGAAAAACTCAGACCTTCGCGGCGAGAGGCCTGGGCCTCGCTCGGTCCAGGGAGTCTGACCTGAGTTCGTGTTTTGATCGGCGCGAGCGTCGTAAGACTTAAAGAGCAGGGAATCGTCCTTCTTCCAAGCTTCTGGGTTTCAATTGCGGGGGTGCCTGCCTTGCATTTCAATTTATTTCGCGCTGTAGCCTTACATGCACGCATGACAGAGTGCTCTTTGAGGGCCGCACCGGCATAGCACCAACCGCAAGCAAGTCAGCTGCAGAGGCTGCTGGCGGGCCCTCGCCCTTGGGCTTGTCAAAGCGCTGGAAGCACCAGGATGATCGGTTGGTGTGGCAGTGCATTATGTCACTGTGTTGGATACAACATCATAAACCGACTCTGGACGAGACGGTTCGAGCAATCTTCTCATGTGCCATCAAAGGCCCGGCTTGGAGCTGAACGGCCGGTAAGCTCTTGATGCAGCCACGGTGCCCAGCGTGGGGGCAAACTGCCTGCCGGCCGCATCTGCCACTCTTCACCTGGCAAAGTTCGAATCTACGGTTCAGGCATCAGGTGCGCCATCTCACCACTCCCACATACAAACCTCTTAGACTGCTCTTCAATGGCTCCAAGAAAGCCGAAAGCAAAGACTGAGGACTGAGGCTGTACACGTCCAATGAGATGGTGGCCTGGCCACGTCGAAGTGTGGCTCGAGCCCTTCAAAACCGTTGTTGAATGTGACTGGCTCTCCACTGTCCTTGTATGCCATCGGATCTATTCTCTTCATCATGCCCTTCAACTGATTGAGCCTTAGCTGTCGAAGAACCGATGCGGCTTGACATTTCAACACAAAGCTGGGGGAAGCGCGGACCGCACTCGTAGAACTCGCCGAGGCCGTCCTGTGCGCTCTGATGCCAAACTCGGGTGTTCCGTAGTTTCACATCATCTGCTTCATCAGGCGGAGCAGCCTTGAGCATGGCAACCACCGAGTCAATCCAGTTTGCGGGCTGCGTCAGCCTAGCGGCGAACGGAGCACTACAAAGAAGAGGATCAGGGAGCAAAGGACTCGGACTAGGACTTTGAACCCTTTGAACCACTTCGAGGCTATTCGTTTAGTTGCTGCGCAAGCAGCTGATCCGCCAGGAGAGCAGCCCAATCGGGAGAGCTGCCGGCTGCAACCTCGAGACTTCAAGCCCAGAGTGCAGAAGCGGAAGCTCCAGAAGACGCCTTTGTGCCGCAACTCAGGTACACGTCGATCCTGTGCCGTCACGTGGGGCACAAGAGCAGGCGACTGTGGAGTCCTTTCAGCTGACAGGGAGGGGCCTGGGAGGTTGCAGATTCCCTGCGAAGCTTTGCAGGAAGTCGAACCTCGGTTTGCTTCGGAAATCTTCGGAAGGAGGAGAGGCAAAGAGGTGTCAGGCCTCCTCGTTCCGAGCACCCGGCATCTGCATCCTGGCCTCCGCCATCATCGACGTGTGGCACGCCCCGGCCTTGAAGCAAAGGTGCAAGTCACTGCATGAAGCCGTGCAGAGAGCCGGGCTCCGACCAGCTTCACTGGCTGGACCTTCGCTGCAGTTTGGCGACGATTTGCCGCCACTTCCCAATGCCACGCCTGCTTGCAGCCCCTGCTGCTCCGTGCACGCTGGAGCAGACGCTCAACAGCTGCATCAGAGCCCGCGCAAAGAAAACCTGCGAAGCAAACGCAAAGAAATTGCAACGGCCATGATGAGCCACGACATGCGACAACTGTCCAGAAATCGCCCGCCGTCGGCGAAGAGTCGCTGCGAAATTTCGCAAACCTCGCCAGTCCTGAGTAAATTCTCCACCGCAATGTCAACAGCAGTCAGCATCCTCGCACAGCGTCCCAAGTCTTGCCCAGATGCTTCCTGCAATCGACACAGAGGCCTTCCACGGTCTCCTGACAGACACGTGCCGCTCGCGTGATAGAGAAATCCGGCCCGGAGTCCTGACTCAGGCCGGCCACAGCTAGAGCTGCTTGGGGACTCTCCAGCATCGCCGCCTCGGAGCTCCCAACAACGGCTTTCATCGGGGAAGGGGAAGGGTGGGAGGAAGACGCGCCTCCATGAGCTCCCCTCGGAGCTGCACAGCTCGCAACCCGGTTTCGAAGTCCCAGACCCCGGCGAAGGTCAGCGCAGCCTCGGAGCAGCGAGCAATCGCGTTCGCTTCAAACGCGCTTCGCGATCGCTCCACCGCCGAGGCGCGAAGTCTCCGAGCGAGAGCCCCGCGACGGCTTTGCAGCGCTCCAAGGCCGCGGGCCTCTTGTCCTCCGCCGCGGCGCGGCTGTGAAAATGGTGCAAGGATGTTGCAGGTCCCGAAGCTTCTCGACAGCCGCGAGCTGGGTGATGTACATCACTGGCTGACCTCAGCGGTTCTAACCGCGTTCGCAGCTGCGTGTCGCACAGTGTTGGACACTGTCACGCTGAGGCTGTGGCAGTACTGAGTGTGCTCCAGCCAGCCTCGCACCAAGTTGTTCACCCCGCCTCTTCCGACTGCCCAAACTTCTCAACCTCACTGAGCCTCACTGTCCAAAAAGAACCGTGCCTTCGGGGCCGCGGAGGAGCTCGTAGAAGCCCTGGAAGCCCGGGCCCTCGAGCGGGTCGAAGTCCAGCACCGCCCGCGCCGCCTCGCGCAGACGCCGCGCTCCCGGAAGCTCCTCGAGGAGACTGGCGAGACTCCGCGAAATCGAAGACAAAAAGGCGAAAGAGAGAAAGAGAGAAAGAGAGAGAGAGAGAGAGAGAGAGAGAGAGAGAGACTTTTTGACTTTGCATTCGCGGAACCGTCCCCTGGTCCCATGCGCGGCACTGGTGACACGCCGTGTGTGAAACGACGCGGCTA